CTCTCTGTCAGATTATTGATTGTTAGAGTGAAATTACTCTCTGCTGACATGCTGTACTTTACATGTGTTTCCTCTACTGAGAACATTATCTTGGAGACAGTATCGTGTCCAGCGTACCAGCTATTTCTTGCAGTGGGATGTTGATGTGAGCAGGGCAGATTCACTGATGAACCTTTCAAGGCACAGATGCTGTTTGGTTTTCCCTGAACACCTTTAACACAACATGTGATTAGAAAACATGGTGAACATTTATGCTAACTTTCTTTTCTGTGCTAATCTGTGATGACAGCATGTTACACTGAAAAAAAGGGGATTGGTCATCTCTTGGATTTATGTAAGCATCTTGTGTGTATTTAACACAATTACCTTATGCTTTAAAATTAAGTGTAACTATATAGTGTAGAAACTACATGATATGTTGATATGTAGAGAGGGTAGATTAAATTGTTCATATCATGTTCAAGTGAACTAAGTCAGTAATATAGCAATGTTGAATCTCGCGACACGATTTCAGTCTTGTGCGCTTTGGATCGTGGTTTCAGGAAGGCATCCATCTCAGTCAAGTCGAGCAGCCACCTCTACTTTTTTTGGTATACTGAAAAAAGTAAATTGGGTGGTTGTTACATTCAAAAAGTCTACCTTGTAATTTGAACACAAAAATTTCATGTTTCTATCTTGAACGTAACTAAATCATGTAGGATCTGTACGAAATTCAACAACTTGTTCAGATGACATGACACGATCTAGTAAGAGTCGTTAGTTGCTGAACTCATGAAATTCACAAGATCTCACGAGATTTCAAACTGCAGGAAAATCACTGGAGTTATAAGAGGCAGACAAGTACACACACACCACATGTATGCTATCACTATTTATTCTATTGTGGTTTAACCTGTCAAGGACAAAAATGTACAAAAAATTCTGCATCAAGCCTTGAAATCATAGCGTTCCCGCTTTTGTTAAGCCTGGCTTTGTACCATGGTGGTTAGTGCTGTTGCCTCACAGTAAAAAGGTCCTGGGTTTAAATCCACAATCTGGCTACTTTGCAGTGGTTTCTCTCTAGGTATT